TGAAATAATGTTTAAAAGCACAGTGAAGGTGCATTTCATTTTACTGACCCAAAAGTATACCTATCCTGTCCACGGATCTCTAAACATCTCTATATATAAAAGCTTAAGCGACCATTACAACCAGTCAACCTAACAACCATTGGTCTGATCGCTATGATGTGCACTGACTACCCTGGAGCAGATGCTCAAGGTCACTGTGCTCCCACCGTTAACTTCCTTCCCATGGTCCCTCCCTATGGCCAGCCAACCACCCAGCCTCTATTGGTCCGATTGGGACTGGGTGAGATGACCCTCATAGGCCCTGAATGCTGGCCAAGCCAGGGACCCACCCATGCACGAATTCGTGCACCAGGCCTCTAGTTATGAAATAATGACAAATAAATTGTCAAGAGAGTGTTCTATTGCATAATATAAAAGTAACTACTCCTACATCTAGCTCCCAAGATTGCCTACCTTGTCCAGCGTCTAACCCCCTCTCCTATAAAGAAAATCATATCTTGGTGAATTAATAAGCCCTGATTCTAATGATCATATCTTGATATTTATATAAATAAAATCATATGGTGTATACCCTATGTGTATGATTCCTTTTGTTCAAAAGTATGCTGGTAAGATTGCTATATTTCCCTGTATATAACAATTGTTTTTATTGTTTTGTCTCAGAATATTCCACTATATGAGTGTACCACAATTTTTTCATGCTACTGTTGATGAACTTGCTCATTTCCCACTGGGTAATCATGAAAAGTGCTTCCATGAAAGCATTACACATATCCACTTTGTGATCATACTATTGCTATTGGGTGTGTAACATGGACTAAAATCATTGGATCATAGTGTATTGTACTAACAAAGAGTTTGCCAAAGTGACTATACCAGCTTACTTTAAGCAATAGATGGTAGCTTTGTTTCCTCTATTCTTCTGTTACCACAGTTCCCTATTTTAATATCTGTGTCATTTTGTGTTTGACAGTGTGGTTTTCATTTGCATTTACCTAATGACAAATGCATTTGAACACTTTTCATAGGCTTACCAGTATAAACTTTTTTTTTTTTTAAGTAAAATGCCTGTTCAAATTACCCCTTTCAATATTTTTAGGTCTAGTTGACTTGTGCTTTTCTTATTAACTTTTAGAATTCTTTCTGTTCCTTCTGTGGATTCATTTGTTGAATACAGATATGTCAAATACCTTCTCCCATTATTGCCGTGCATTTTTAATGGTGTCTCAATGCATACAAGCTACTAAAAATTGAATACATTCCAGTTTATGGTTAGTAAATTATATTCCCCATTTAGTAAAATATTCACAGTTACATGGGCATAAGCATACTACAGATTTATTTATTCATTTTTCACCTTATATTTATTGTGATTTATTTTTTAAGTGTTGCATTGAATAGTAGGAAAAGACACAAATACTGTCTTTATTTACTCTTAGGAATTTCAGTCTAGTAGCAATAAATAATTACCAATTTGATGAAAGTTTGTTGACTATTATGATAGGTATAATGCGCTCAGAAAGTTTGTGCTAAGAAGAACTACACAGGTCTGTGGAGTCAGGGAGGATGTCCTTTTTTGAGTTGTATAAATATTTTATATATCTTGGTTATTAACCCCATATCAGATGTATCATTGGCAAATATGTTCTCCCAAACAGTGGGTTCCTTTTTCATTTTGATGGTGGTTTCTGCTGTGCAAAATCTTTTTATTTTGATGTAGTCTCATTTGTGTATTTTCGCCCAAGTTTCCTTTGCCCAATAGCTAAGCTTTGGCAACAGCCCAAGTGCCCATCAGTAGATGTATGGCTAAAAAAGCTATGGGGTGTTTACACAATGGAATACTATGCAGCTGTGAAAACCAGGAATATCTTACCCTTTGGGATAGCATGGATGGACCTGGAGAGTATTATGCTATGTAAAATAAGCAAATCTGAGAAAGACAAGTACCACATGATCTCACTTTTTTAAAAATATATATATTTTATTGATTTTTTTTTTTTTTTTTTTTTTTTTTTTACAGAGAGGAACGGAGAGAGATAGAGAGCCAGAAACATTGATGAGAGAGAAACATCCATCAGCTGCCTCTTACACCCCTTCTCCCACCCGGGGATGTGCCTGCAACCAAGGTACATGCCCTTGACCAGAATCGAACCTGGGACCCTTCAGTCCGCAGGCAGACGCTTTATCCACTGAGCCAAACCAGTTTCGGCTGATCTCACTTTTTGTGTGGAATCAAAATGAATTCACCAATAAAATAACGTCAGAGTCGAAACTGGTTTGGCTCAGTGGTAGAGCATCAGTCTGCGGACTGAAAGGTCCCAGGTTCGATTCCGGTCAGGGGCATGTACGTTGGTTGCAGGCACATCCCTGGTAGGGGGTGAGCAAGAGGCAGCTGGTCGATGTTTCTCTCTCATTGACATTTCTTGCTCTCTATCTCTCTCCCTTCCTCTCTGTAAAACATAAATAAAATACATTTAAAAAAAAAAAATAATGTCAGAAGCATGAAAGAACAGAACAGGCTGACATTCATTGATGAGGAGAGTGGGGAATGAGAAGAGAAAACAAAAGAACGTATATGCATAGCCCATGCAGAGGTGGAATATGGTGGTGAAGACCTGCGGAATGGGGAGTGGGTAGGGCTGAGAGGCAGTATGTAAAGGGGGAAATAAGAGACATCTATAATACTATCAACAATAATATATATTAAAAAAAGACAACATATCTATAAATTTACTGTGGTCATGCCATTTTATTAACATACAATTGTGTACCCTTAAATTACAATGTGCTAGGTATCACCTTGATACCTCATAGGACATTTCCTGAAATTGGTGTACACAGTTAGGAAAATCATCAAGTAAATGGCCAAAACTTAACTTTTCATGAAGCTTCCAAGCAAAGGAAAGGCTTCAGAGGGGATGAGAAAGAGGAATAAGCTAAACTACATATGAGGGAACCATTGCCAGCATTATGGAAGCTCACAATTCCTCTGTCATAATCCAGAAACACTCCAATCTTACCCACAGGCATTTTCACATGATGAACTATGAGTGGGCGGTTAGTGTAGAGATAATATTGACCATTCGTCTTCAAGGAAAATAGAACAGATGCTTCTCTCCAATCAATAAAGAAAAGGTTATTCATTATGAGGATATCTTTACAGACTCCCAGAATCCAACACGAGGTATGTGGCACACCCACCTCCCAGTAATGTCTACCAGAGGTGAAGGTATGTGTTCCCCAAGTCACAAAACTCCGCAGTCGCTGGGGTTCCCTGGATATGTTGTAATGGACAGCTGGGAACACCAGACTCTTCACATCCTCATAAACCCACATGGAAAAACTGATGGTTCCATTACTCAGGACATTATCCACTGTAGAGAGAGGCAAAAAACATGTAAATAAATGGAATTTCCATGGCCAAGGGGGCAGAGTCTCTTCATTTGGCCCTCCTCCAAGGAAATCTTATCAAATAAAAGTGTAATATGCAAATTGACCATCACTCCAACACACAGGATGGCTGCCCCCATGTGGTCAAAGATAGCTGCCTCCATGTGGACACAACATGTCTTCAACAAGATGGCCAGCAGAGGAAGGCAGTTGGGAGGGACCAGGCCTGTAAGGGAGGGCAGTTGGGGGCAATGAAGCCTGCAAGGGAGGGCAGTTAGGGATGACCAGGCTGGCAGAGGAGGGAAGTTGTGGGTGACTGGGCCTGCAGGGAAGGACAGTTGGGGAGGTCTCAGGCCTTCAAAGGAGAGCAGTTGGGGGTGACCAGGCCTGCAGAAGAGGGCAGTTAGAGGTAATCAGGCTGGCAGGTAGAAGCAGTTAGGAGCAATCAGGAAGGCAAGCAGGCAAACAATTGGGAGCCAGCAGTCCTGGATTGTGAGAGAGATTTCCAATTGCCCATTTAGGCAGTCAGACATCCTGCAAGGTATCTGGAGAAGGTGCAGGCTGGACAGAGGGACACATGCCCCCCATGCATGAATTTTGTGCACAAGGTCTCTAGTACAAAATAATGACAGCAAAGAGAGTGGAGACTGGTTCATCTACAAAGAACAATGATTATCACTACCTTTACCCAGAAGTCCTTCACAGTACACAGAAGAAGAAAACAAAACATCAGTGCATGTCACGAAGAGTGTGCCAGGGTCAAGCAAAGATTTAATGTCAATCTCTGGGTAGTTTGTTTTAGGTCACACATAAAACCTTTCTTTCCTTTAGAAATCTCATCTTGTGTTGATTGTCCTATTAATAAATAGACAGCACTTTGCTATTATGTGGGTTGTTATTGGAGTATAAGTGGCACCTGTTACTTTTTCAAGAATATAAATATTTGATTGAAATACATATTATAGATAAATTAGTAATTTCTGAAGAGAGTGCTTTGGGTTTTCATTATCTGTTCAGACCCTGCATTAAGTTTAATCTCAATTTCAGTTCTGGGGTTTGGACCTGCTCTCTACTATGAGCCTAATATGACTGGACTGTGGTCACAGATTTTTCTCTGCCAGTGGTTTTGACATTGTTCTAACAGCACTAAAATCATTCTGCTTATGACAGTTTCAGTCCTTTTTTGGACTTTCTGATTTTATAAATAATAAATTTTCAATGCATGATGAATGCATTTACAATGTATAACAGATTTAAATCCATCAGTGTGATATTTAAACATTCAAAAATGGGATAACTGAGTAAACATACAATATTGATGGCTACTCTGAGAACTAAATAGTCTATCTCCTCGTGACCATATGGTCAACCTCATTGCTCTTCTTTTCCTCTGTGTATACCAAATGTCAATAAAAATGGGTATCTTGCTTTCATTTTCAATATAAGTTGCAAAGTTCATTGTGATATGACTACACAAGGGAAGAAGATGTAATTTTATAAAGTGATGGACTGCCTTCATGTCAGAAAAGATAAAGTTATAAAAGAAAAAGAACCTATAAAACTAAGAACTACAAAGAAACTGAGGTCTAATGCCACAGGCAAACTCTTACCTCTGAATCTATTCAACAAGTCCAGGAGCCCAGTGCAGCACCTGGAAGTGAGGTCCGGATTCACCGGTTGCGGCATTTGATTCCTCACCAATTCGGACCTGTGAAGAATGATGTCAGTAGCATTTGGAGAAAAATGTTAGTCACAAAACCAGTCTAAATATCATAGCTTTTTATCCAATATATTTCATCAGGATCCTCTCATTCTGAGTTAATGAAGTATATACATTAGAGTCTACCCTTGTGGAGATAGAAGAAATGTTACCTTCTTTTCTAAATTTACAAATTATTTCCAATGCCAACTTCCCCATCTTCTGAGATATTATTGTATTTCTAAAATGACTGAGAATCATTTCCTCCATCTACTCCACCTCAGGGAATGCAAACCCCTGGGTATCTGACAGGGAGCAGAACATCCAGGCAGAAACTTTGGGACTTGAGTTTCAGAGTCCTCACCAATAAGATATTTAGAGTCTGAAAGGGGAGAGTCCACAGAGCCAGACAGCTTCCTCTCTCTCTCTCTCTCTCTCTCTCTCTCTCTCTCTCTCTCTCTCTCTCTCTCTTTCTCTCTCTCTCTTTTCTTAAGCAGGAACACCTAACTCCCACCTGGCAGCTCTGCTCCTGAAGGTCTAACTTCTTAGGAACCACCAGGTGGTCATTCCCCCTTAGGTTTGACCTGCAATGATGGAACAGGCTGAGTCACTGCTAGTCCTGGGAACAAAATCAATCCTCACATATTTATAGCAAAGTTCCTGATTTCCTGCCCTTTTCACCTTCCAACTGTGCAGTGTAAGGTACCTTTTTCTGTGATACCTTCAAAAAACACTCCAGTAATGTTTATTATGCTAAATAGGGAGAAGATAGGGGAGAGGGGCTGGAAAGAAACTCAGTTGTTTTCAGGTACATATGAATTCAGCCACATGAAAAGGAAACTTCTGAGACCAGAAGGCCTCAGGACCACTTTTGAAAGAAACTGGAAAATAGCTACAGAGGAAAAGACTTTTAGCTCAAAACATGTACAGCACCCTCACCAAGAAGAGAATGACTTTCTCATAAAATATTAGTGTAAACTCACCTTTCCAACACAGTTCCCACCTCCTGCAAAACAAACAGAAAAAAAAAAAGGTAAACATGCAAATTATGTCCTTTTACATATTTTCTAGAGTTTGTTTTCATCATGTACTTTTTCCTATTTCCCTTTAAGGAACAATCGGAAGCCATTTTAATAATAGCACTTAAACTAAAACACGCAGAGCTTCCCCAAGGTGTTCTGAGGATGGGAGGAGGTCAGGCAGAGAGTGAAGTGATGCAACCAAGTCTAAGTTTCCAATATCACTCATTGTCCTGTTATTCCCCAGGAGAGATCTGACAATTTATAACGATGAAAGCAAAACAGGGCATCCAATGAAAAATAGAGAGATCTGTAAAACTGCCAAATTCTAGAAATCTTGTCTAGGGAAGAGTCAAAACCTCAAAGTTACTTTTACTTCAATAGTAGAGAGTGACAGTGGATTAAGGGAATGTAAATAATGAATGACCACAGCAAAGTTAATGTTGCCTTTCTCTGAAATTGACTGAATTTGGACAATCCATCTGTGGAGAAGGTGATTCAGATGACACTGACATCACTTTATCCTATGTCAGCTACATAGGCAAAGAGCTCCCAAAGAAAATAAGCGACTGACTGGACAAACACGATGATGAGAGTCCAGGAGCATAATCACTTAGTTGAAGGTAATGGTAAATGCAGGCATCCTAGCCACATTGTTCATAATATGATTCCCCTCTCTGAGGATGGACCCTCCCCTCTCACCTGGAGCATCTCCACATCTGGCTTGTGGCACATGCTCATCTGCTCTCTAAACATTTCTTTCAGGTTCTCTGTGTGTTGGGTCATTCTGACTTGGCTTTCCTGAAGTTTCTGGATGATCTCATTTGCTTCTCTCTCCATTTCGTTCACATAGAGTTGCTCCTCCTCATAGAGAAATTGATGAATTTTCTGATATTCTGCTTTGATCATCACCTTCCTAAGGGCCATGTACTCCTGCACAGATAAAGGGTTAAAGAGATTACACATTCTCACTCTAAAGAGATTGTCAAACTTTTTTCTTAATTTCATCAAGAAAATATTTGAGAAGCTTTTTGCCTCATACCTCAAAGTGTCTTGAATATTTGCAAAGCCTTTTGTACACTCTGACCCTATGTTCCTAGTCCTTTTCCTGTTAAATCAAGCCCTCTACAGGGTCCCAGACTAGCCCACCTGATGTTACTTAGTGGTTGGGTGTTCACCTATGAACCAGGAGATCAGGTTCAATTTAGGTCAGGACACATACTGGGCTTTAGGGCTGAATCCCCTGCAGGGGATATAAGGAAGGCAGCTGATCAATGATTCCCTCTCATCATTTATATTTTTATCTCTTTCTCCCTTCCTCTCTGAAATCACCCTGATGCATGAAATCACACTGCATGCATTGTTTTAAACCATATATACTGTAGATTTGGCCACTATATTTATAATTGCTGATATATTTTTTTAAACAACTGCTTTTTCCTGGGGAGAAGCTATTATTCTTTAACCATTATTCTATACCTCCAATGTACCTAAAATTATAAGCCGGCATTTCTCAATCTGCATAAATATGTAGAAGTGAAATTAAGCAGAACTTGTTCATTCTTACCTCCAATGACTCGACTTTCCCAGCTTCTAACTTCACTTTGTTTTGCATTTCTTGAGACATATTCCATAAGGAGCCCATTCTCTTGAGAAGTTCCTCCTGCAAAATAACCATGAGCTTTAGTGACAACTAAAATGGTATTGTAAATTTTATCCTCTTTTTTTATGGTTAAAGGCAGATGTTGAAAGCACTGTCACCTTGAGTTAAAATGAAGAGGTCTGATCTCTTCACATTAATCTGATTTGATTCCCCTATTTGGATAATCAGAGGTGACAGAGACATATAATCAGAAGTTTGGGGAGACATTACAGACCATTTCTTGAGAAATTGGCACCCAGATTTTCATGGATACTGACTATGAAGAAGTCAGACTTGCATCAGAAGCCAGTGTTCCTGGTACTAGCCACCTTCCCCCACAATAGCGCCAAGATATTTGGACAAAATATCTAAATAAATCTACCTTAGTAAAAGCTCAACACAACTCTGATTATAGCATCCAAGTTGACCCACAGCATTGCCAGGATACACTTATAATTTTGAATTTTGCATTGAAACATTACCAGCTCCACCAGCTCCATTATCATCAATCAACTTCCTTTTCATTATTATCTTCTTTCTCTCACTTAGGAGCCTACATCTACCAAATTGCATGAGAGGTACCACTTACCCTGTATTCCTCAGCAGCCTGTTGTGTTAAGCTGTGGCTGTGAGCCACATGGTTTGGGGAATCAGAGCAGTGCCTACAGAATAGTTTCTTTTCAACGTCACAGAAGAGCCTCTTTGCTGCTTTGTGTAGCACACAAAACTGCTCCTCGGAGCTGTCGACAGAGCCAGCTCTGGCCCATCTCGCTACGGAAGCCAGTCTGCTGACTGTGATGCTAGTTTTGAAATCGGGCTTCTCTGACACTTGTCTGCAGTGAGGGCAGCGCTTGGGAATCTGGGCCGAATCCCAGCTGAGGCACAGGCAGGGGCTGCAAAAGCTGTGCCCGCAGTCTAAGGTGACCGGGTCTAGAAAGTAGTTCATACAGATGGGGCAGATGAGTTCCGTCAGCATGCCTGACAAGGTGTGTGACTCCATATTTCTGAAACTGAAATAAAGACAGACAGATTGTGAAAGGGAGATACATAAAGTTATTCTTCCTCCCAAATGAGGAAAAAAAAATACATTTGGATAAAGGTATGTCTGCTTGAGCTCTGTCTACCTATTAGCTTGGTACCTATTCTACCCTTTAATTTAACTCCACTGGAAACCTAAACGTAACAAATCTAGATACGTTGGGTTTGTGCTTAAGATATAAATGAGAAAATGACACAAGAGAGTCTTCAGCATGCTTTTTGTTTAAAATATGCAACGATCTGGGCCCTGTCTGGTAGGCTCAATTAGTTAGAGCGCCATACCGACACGCCAAGGTTTGGGGTTTGATCCCTGGTCAGGGTATATACAAGAATCAACCAAGGGATGAATAAATAAGTAGAACAACAAATTGATGTTTCACTTTCCCTATCCCTGTTTCGCTCTTTCTATAAAATCGATGAATTTTTTAAAAATAAAATAAGATAAACCATGATCTCAATATTACCTCACTTAGTGTTTGGTTCACTAGAGCATCTACATAAATTAATGAACCATTTTCTCTTTTTTTGTCTCTCTGATTCCATGACTTTAAATAAGCACTCCCTTAATATCTATCCTAATAATCTCTATTGTGCCCAAGTCAAACCAACTAGTTTAGTCAAAGTGTTGACGTTAATTTTGAACTCCTTAAACAGTTGAATAATAAAACTCTTCATTTTAAACAAGAAAACATAAAACTTCCTGTATGTCTTGTTCAAGAAAACGAAATTTTCCAAGTCAGTTGATTTAGTCCATCATAACACCTTCACACTTTGAATTGGTCAATCCACAAGCTACAGCAAAAAGTAACTACTTGTTTTGTTTTTTCTGTTTTTAAATAATGCCCTAACGGGTGAGGCGCAATTGGTTGGAGTGTTGTTTCATATACAAGAGGGTAGTGGGTTTGATTCCCAGTCCCAGTGGATGCCCAAGTGCTGGGTTCTATACCCAGTTAGGGTGCATGTTAGAAGCAGCTGATACATGTTTATCTCACATCTGTGTTTCTCTCTCTCTCTCTCCTCTTAAATCTCTCCGCAATCAATTAAAAAAAATGAGAAAATAAACAATATGAGATATTGTCTCTACACTAGAAAATCCAGAGATGCAGTCAATGGAAGCATGACTGGTTCATTTTTATTTCTGATGTCTCCCATTATATCCATCTCCACTTCCTGGGAAGCCCTAGAGTTGTTCAGATCTATTTCAAAGTTTCCAAATGAAGCCTGGAAAGTTTAGGTTTTAAGGAAAAAACAAAAAGGACCTTAACAAGATTTTTCTAATTAATTGCACATGTACTTGTAGGTTAATATATATGAAGACTTATATGTATGCATTGTGTTGAATATTATTGGTAGTTTTAGATTTCCACAATTGCAAACACACACACACACACACAAAAAAGAAAAAGACAAAAAAAAAGAAATCTCTTTTAAGACGAAAATAAAATTCCAGTAGCAAACGGTAGTAAAATAAAAATAAACAAGTAATCTTTTATAGCAAATATCAATATATTACAAGTGCTCTAATCTCAGATACTTTAAATATTGACATCATTTCTATTAACTAAGAAATCTACTTGTTTGCTTGAAGTACCTTCAAGCATGCCAACAGGTAAATTAAAAGTATTTGTATAGGAGAACCTCGGCATGAAGGCATTTACTTTAAATTCTGTCCTCATCAGAGTTTATGAGTGATCTTACCTCCGAAAGTGCTGTGGATGTCAGGGTTAGTAGAAACTCTCTGCGCTCAACTCATGGCTCCAACCTCAGTCAGTCTACCCTGGAGAAGAAGTGAAGTGGCTCTGGAAATATGGGCCTTTTATACTCACCTAAGGTCACACCCACTTGCTGATATCCGATTATGGCTTAAAAGGAATTAATCAATTGAATGGATTATACCAATAGTAGATTGGCTCGTTAAATTTAGAATTTATAGAAAACTAGCCTGGGGGTTAACAAACTAAAAGAATGTAAATGTGTTTTGTGATAAGATTCATGAAACTTTAAAAAATGCAATAAAGTATTATTAACTATAGTCATCATCTTATAGATGCTGTAGAAAATCATTTTAAAAAAATATATTTTATTGATTTTTTATAGAAAGGAAGGGATAGGAATAGAGAGTTAGAAACATTGATGAGAGAGAAACATCAATCAGTTGCCTCCTGCACACCCCCCACTGGGGATGTGTCCCCAACCAAGGTACATGACCTTGACCAGAATCGAAACTAGGACCCTTGTGTATGCAGCCTGTCGCTCTATTCATTGCGCCAAATCATTAGGGCTAGAAAATCATTTTTAACAGAGGTGCCATGTGATTTGTATTTTGTTGACACCTATCACAAGTTAGCAAATCAGTGATGCCCCGGCCATGTAATTTATTTTCCTAAATGATCAAATCTTTGGGAATTTAGCTCTGATTTTATGAAAGTAATCTGACTTTTTGTAAATATCTAAATTAAATTTACCTTGTTCGTGGCTTTGGCACGTATATGCTAATATTGGAATGAAACATAGAAGATTAGCATGGCCCGTGGGCAAAGATGACATGCAAATTCATGAAGCATTCCATATTTTTTAAACATATTTTATTGATTTTTTTTTACAGAGATGAAGAGAGAAGGATAGAGAGTTAGAAATATTGATGAGAGAAACTTCAGCTGCTTCCTGCACACCTCCTACTTGTGATGTGCCTGCCTGCAATCAAGGTACATGACCTTGACCAGAATGAACCTGGGACCTTTTAGTTTGCAGGTCGACGCTCTATCCACTGAGCCAAACAAGTTAGGACACATTTCATATTTTTGAATGAATGAATGAAGCTCGCCTTTTAAAAACTATTGAAAAACAAACTTTAAAAGCCATCAAAGCCCACATATTCTAAAAAAAAGTTGAAGTAGCTGCCCTCTTAATTGGTTTATAGAAATGTAAATTAACTTAAGGTTCACTAACCAGGAATGGCACTTCCCACAATGTTTCCTGAGGAGACCAAGGAAAAGAAAAGGAATAGTGCATATCCTATGTACATGTGTATAGGAGAATGTTTACTAAGTTAATTCTGAGAAATGCCTCAAGCATTTTTCAATATGTTGCCAGTCATTTACATAACATATAGAGAAAGAACGTCTACTGTTCTAATTTTTTAGACCATATCAAATAACTATGTGGGTAGTCTGTTCCATGGTGCTGTCCCTTACAGGGACTTGTCCAACCTTCCTTTGCAATATTATTTTTCTGGATTTATGATTATGTCACATCGCATTTTAAAATTCTATCATTTGAACCCTGCAATCTTATCCCTTCTTTAAATAATAAATACAGAAGCTAAGCCATCCTAAGTTTTGCTAAGTAGCATAGTAACTACAACAACGTGTAAAGAAAAATATAAAAAGTGAAATCTAATAGGATGTTGAAAAAAGGTATTATTTGTTAGGCTTAAAAATATATTATTGCCAAAACTGGTTTTGCTCAGTGGTTAGTGCGTCAGCCTGCTGACTGAAGGATCCGAGGTTTGATTCTGGTCAAGGGCATGTACCTTGGTTGCAGGCACATCCCCAGTGGGAGGTGTGCAGGGGGCGACTGATTGATGTTTCTCTCTCATTGATGTTTCTAACTCTCTATCCCTCTCCCTTCCTCTCTGTAAAAAATCAATAAAAATATATTTTAAAAAGATACTAATATTTTAAATAGCAGACACTTTGGGGGGGGGGGTGGGGAACAAACAAAAAACAGAAGGACCAAAAGTTATTTTCAAAAGAACATTAATGCTCTGTAATGCCTTGAGTTTCCCTTGTACCAAGTCAGTAAAAAGGGATCTTCAAATGACTTCACATGGCAGGATGGGGACAGGGTGGAGACAGGGTGGGGATGCTGTGAGAATCCAGGCGGAAGCAGCACTTTGAACTAGAACAAGGATTTTAACAAGATCATTGCAAAGCTCCTTTCATAGTTTGGCACCTTCCCACCCTGAGGAGAGTGGCCTGACTTTGCTATTAGCAACCACTGATGAATCCCAGTTGACACGATTAGAGGAAAGAGTTGGTGAGTGTTTCTAGTAAAAGGTGAATGAGTTACAACATTGGTTTCAGGACTCTTTGGGTATCTAGAGAAAGATGTGAACAGATACTTAGGAAAAACAGCCCCCATCAGGTTCACCTGGTCATCTGCTTTTCAGCTGATAGGAGCCACTGTTGACTGGAAGTTCCAGAACTGACCCCAAGCCAGTTATGAACCTGGCGTCCTCAAGATGCTGGTAGCACAGCCTGAAGGCAGGATCTTCAAGCTCTATCAGGACTGGGTTTCAGGCAAACATTGGAAAGTATGTAATGGCATCTTTAGATGCTATTTCATATCTCTTCAGAGCACAGTAAATTCTAGCATTATCTCCTAAAAGGTCAGTTATGCAAATACTTTCTGCTCACTAGCATACTTGGGATTCAATGGAAAATATTTCAGAGGTTTTACTAGGTCAAATGGGAGTTCAATTTTTAATATTTCTGTTGAAACTCCAGTAACTCCACTCATAGGAATATAGCCCAAGAAACATGAAACACCAATGAGAAAGAACATATGCACCACTATGTTCATAGCAGCACAATTTACCATAGCTAAGATTTGGAAACAGCCTAAGTGCCCAGCAGCAGATGAGTGGATTAGAAATCTGTGGTACACCTACACAATGGAATAGTATGCTGATGTACAATAGAAGGAACTCTTACCAATTGCAAATCATGGATGGCTCTCAGAGCATAAAGGAGTTTAGCTTGCATCCTAGCTTCTGTAAGAAGCAGATTAACATGAACCTTCTCGGAGTGTTTGAACTGCCTCCAGAAGCTATCATACATTTTTTTTTTGGTAACCTTTTCAGGAGTGCAAGCAATAGTTTTGATATAAACTTTAAAGCTACAATCCAATAGCTGATTAATTTCACGTCCTAATCATCATATCTTATTCCAAACATGCAGT